CAATAGTACAAACCATTAAAAATTTATTAAATTACGAGCACGATACTGTTTTATGATTAAATCATTTCTGGGATTGCAATTAGAGTTTAGATGCAAGTGTGAAAAAAAATCGTTGTGAATCGTTCTGTCTGTAATAGAATATATGGAGGGAAAGATAAGTACACAAACCGAAAGTTTGAAATCAATCGCGTATTGGATCATAATATGGAAAGTAATATATCAACCACCGGTGAATATGGGCAAGGAGATACGATTCAACTTAGATCTTCTCCCACAACCAAGGTCACTTGGAGAAAATCAATTTTTTTTTTTTTTCAAAAACATTTCTCATGTAAGTAAAAACCATAACAGGCCTAAATTAGACATAACGTGCCACCGACCTACATCTAGATTGTAGCAAAATGCACGTATACGGTGGGTGGTGGTGCAGGATGGCGGAGGGCCGGGAGCTGTGACCCAGATAAAACTTATTTCCAGATGATACGCGAGGAGTAGACGGAAACGCTACGTGTCCCAAGTACATGAAACCTGTTAAGCCTGTTTTTGAAATTAAAAATCAGCGAGCAAAAATCAAATGGCATTCGTAGGGTACACCGACCAAACAGTCATTYTGTACGTGAACGCGATCGCGTGCAGTGTTATTAATTTGTTCTAGTCAACAAAATATACATGGCACACGATAGATAATAGATACTTAGCTAATTGTAACGGTATAGATATTATAAGTAATACAAAGGTGCATAAGTGATAGTAAATAGCAACAATGATTACGCGTGTGGTGATAACAATCACAGTGGTGTGTCTCGCGATTTCGAATTTAGCCACAGCAACGGCGGAAGCGGAAGCTAGCCTAAAACAGTCAGTGGAGGTATTGGATACGAAAGTACAGCAGCAAAACGTCGTCACGGACGACGAAGGGATTACAATTAACGTGACTGCCATTGCAGCCAGGTTCATCAATGATTACGTGACACCCACATTATGTTCATACTCACCAGAAATTTGTGCTAAGCACCAACTACGTAAGTCTRAACTATATGAATATTGTTTAATTTTGCGTAATAGAATACAAAAATCAAGCTTTCCAAAATTGCCCRAAATCAAATTAATCCAAAAATACTACGATATCAAGCTAACTCCCAAACTTTGATATCCTATTAGTATCGTTACCTACTCTTAATATCTCAAAAAGATGTCTACAAACATATTATTATAGTATATAAGTTCATATTATCACATTTTAGTTTTTTGATAACTTAAAAATTTTCATTAAACTTTGTGCGAATAAAATAMATTATTATAATATTCATACGGTTATGAAATATAATTTCGATAAAACAAATTACATTTTAACATGTGAAATTAAAGTCAAACAAAATATGATTTAAGAGCCGATTCAATAAAAATGACATTTGATATTTGATAATATATCCAATGTCACCAAAATTTGAATATTAAATCTATCATACGAAATGTTTGTATAGATATAAGATTTTATGCTGAATTCAATTTGTAAATACAGTAAAAATCGTATTAAATTGATAAATCCTAGGAACTCTTAACTACTAAATAAT